TGTGGACACACCTTTTGCAGACATCTCCTGCATGGAAAAACTAGTCATGCACTGCTTACGTGTGAGCTTGAGTGATTCTTCTACACATCATAAAGGATTTTGGGATCATGTGAAGTCTCCCAGTAATATATCCTTTAAACCAGCCCACACCATGATGTTCTCACGCTCAATGTTTTTTTTTGAATACTTAGAAGAAGCTTAAACTCGCCTTTTTCTTCAGCAGTGGAGTCTTAGTTAGTTGTAATTTTGATCATTGCAGTTGATTGAATTACTTTTTTGCATGGGGAAACACTGGGACTGCTGCTTCCAGGTCTTTCAGGTGTCTTTGAGCTTCTTGGTCATTTTACATCAATTTAGATTTTTTTTTTTTTTTTATCCTCTGTTCGAAATCCTATCATGACATTTTAGTGGCTTTCACATACCCATTGTGACTTCACCAATACTCATAATGTTTCTCAAAGGCAACATATTTTAAAATTTGTGCTTTTACTCAATTTTTTTTCTTCCCTTTAATTAAGTCAATAGTTAAAATTAAACGAATAGAAGCGAAGTCCAAAAACAAAGTACAGAACACTAAAAAAACAGGAGATGCCAGATTGAAACACAGGGAACAAAGTAATGAAGCAACAAGAAACCAACACTGAAGAACTGCACAGGGAGAGTATATATGGGAGACAGAACAAAGACTGGGCTAATCAGCTGATATGGAGCAGGTGTGGATAGAGGTAACTAGAAGGAAGCCAAGGGGATAGGAAACTGGCGCAAGGAGGCAACAAAGAGCAACACAAAAACACAACACTGCAAGAAAACAACTACAAAGACACAAAATTACTGAGATACTAAAAATAAACCTAAACAAAGAACAGAGCCCTGACATGAGCTTCATTTTGGGGTAATATGCTTAGATTTGTTGAAAATTTGTAAAAGAATTGTACTTTTATAAGTACTTGAAAGCTTTGTCGTTATGAAAACTTCTCCGACAGTCAGGAGGATTCGAATCTCTTATTCCATTTACACTACCCTTTTAATCCGTGCTGAGAGCGGTCCGAGCAGGGTAACCGAGATAACTGTTGAGTGTAAATGGCACACAAAATTAAACCGGACAACGGCAGACACAACCGAACTGTAGTTCATCACTAGGGCTCGGCACAGTTCAGTTCTGACTCGGTTCTCAGATAACAAAGAGCACAAGAGGAGACTGCGTAATCTCCTTACAGTCAGCTTCCGTAATTATGAAATTTCAGACATTCGTAAAAATACTAGCTTCCCTACCATGCCACACGATTTCCAATGATGATTCTGCTTAGCAGTGTGGTGAACCTTAACGTCTGTCATTGTTTCCTGTGTCTGTAAGCCCTTATTAGACTATCCTTTGTCGTATACACTTCCCAAAAGCCGACTCAACTGAATTTACCAAAGGCTGCCTTCTTCGCCTGACTCTCAGCAAACAAAGAAATATCACAATTATAACCGAACATAACTTCCTGAATGCTACAGGCGCTGCCATTTTGATTTGCTTGATTCCCTCCTTCAATCCTAGAGAGCAGTAGTACCGTAGATTCTCACTACTAGGCGTGGAAACGTGCTAGCTTGGTGTGTAAACGATTGTAAGGAACAAAGCTCGGGGCGGTTAACTGATTCAAGCTCAGTCTGATCTCGGCACGGATCGGTTTTCAGAGGAAAGTGTTAACAGGGCTTCTGTCACCAGCCTTCACCAGTTCCTCACCCAGCCTTGATTGTCAGAGCATCTACTGTTTACATATTAATATTTGTTACTCTGATTATATATATTGGTAAGTTTCCGTTAACAGAGTTCAAATTGATTGGCCTTTGTGAAAAAGAAAAAATCTTATTTAATGAATTAGAATAAAAAAGGATTCAGAAAAATTTGGTCATTTTATTAAAATTGTTAGATTTATTGTTGCAAAAATAAAAGACGACTGTCTTGTTAACTTTTAGGTCCTCTCCACTCAGAGTGTTTATTGGGTGTGGAGGTTACTGTGTCTTTTATCAGAATATCACAAATCTTACAAATCTTGAACATAGTTTTGAGTACTACTTTGCAGCTTTCTGTTTTGCAGAAAGGGTAAAATAAGTCAATTATTTCACAAGGGAAAAATATTCTGCACCCGTTTTTGAACGGTGCATACATTTTTGAGCAGCATGTTCTCTGTCCTCATAGCAGATCCAAGAAGGCTAGTGTTGCAGAAGCCAAACAATCTTGGTGTAACTTGAAAATAATTAATCTTGAAAATAATGTTTGTAAAGGTATCTTTGAGACTTAGAACCAACAGATTATTCCTAAATTATGCAGATGTGTCTCTGAAAAATGAATGGCTGCTAATGAGCTATGATCCCAGTTGGTGTGTTTTTGGTTTCTTGTTGCAGAGGAAAAAGCACAGAAGAGGGGAGCATTCATCCAGAGAGATTCGTGAGAAAACTTGCAGATTACTCTTTCAAAATCCCTTACAGGCTTACAAAATACCTCCAGCCATCAATTCAAAAACAACTTATTATGTTGCAGGGTTTATTTTTCCCAGAAAGCGGGTTTGTTGTGAAAATCAGCAGTCTAGTTGAAGTTAAATTACATTACTTCCAGACAAACTGATGCTGATTAGTTCATTTTTTAATACTTGCACAAATTTATGAAGTTTAATGGAGGCTGTTGATCATTAGCAGTGGCCTTTATGAGTCAAGGTCAAAGTTAAATAGTCAGGGTTTTATTTAACCTCCTGTCCACTGAGAAGTTTCTGTCCTCGGGCTCACCTCCTGCTTTCCCTTTCTTTCTCTTTTTCATTTTTCCCTTCTCTGTTTTTATTAGATAACTCCTTTGTACCTCTCTGGGTTTGAAACCTTACCACTCTTGTTAATGACAAGCTGGGGGTTCAGGTTGGGGTTGTGGCCGTGGGGTGAGGGCCACATTTGGCTCAGTACTGTGCTGTCCATTGAAGGTGACAGGAGGGGCTGTGACTTTGGGGCATTTGACCCCCAAATTCTTTATTTTTACTAGGAAGTCTTCCAAGGATGGAGCTGTTGATGTGAATAGCGGCCCAAGGTGACTGGATCCCAATAAAGGGGTCGTCACCCTGGACGGGGCCCCCTTCCCATCTGAGATACAACCTTTATTGGGCTGGTTATGAACCTGGGCAACTATTAAACCCTGCCCAGCCTGCACTAAGGAATTTAGGGCCAGGAAATAGGGGGTGGGGGAAGGCGTGGGCTCAAGGAGGTGAAGTTGGGGTGAATGAAGGTGAAAGTTGAAAGGCACATCTGATCAGAGATCATATGGAAGGGCTTTTATCCCCTAGTTTCCAAAATTCATATCATCTGATGCTGATTTTAGTTGAAGTTAAGTATCTAAACCATAAAAAGTTTACAAAAGAACAAATCAATCATTCTTAAAAGAAGTATTTAGATGTATCCTTTTATGGGGTCTAATAGGTGATAAATCAGTTTTTTTTTTTCCACTTTCTCTTTATGTTTCAACAGGATGTACTTTGAACTTTGAACCACTTTTTTGTGAATTTAATCAGATTTAGAAAAAAAGGTTACTGAAAAAATTACTTTAGTATTTAACTGGGGTTGATCTTATTAAGAAAACTGTTGTCTATTTCTTCTCCTTTTATGTTTTAAAGTTCCTAAAACATCCAAAATCAGCAAGACCTTCTTAAACAGACCTGGAAATCAGTGCAGGTCAGGAGAAGCAGGATCTTTGGAGGCTCTTGTTCACCAACTAAGAATTACTCTACATGTCATTTGATTTAATATTAGACTTAGTATACCGGTAACTTAAAATGTTCACACCTCAGAAGGTAAAAAATTAAACTTTTTAGAGAGTAGTCATTCTTAGACAGCTCTGCAGATAAACTTGACCTTGCTATTATTCAAAATGAAGGTAAAATGTTTCAAATGCAGGGATTGTAAACTGTCTGTCTTAATACAGCGTGATTAACAATGATCATATGTTAATAAAACATGCTGCGTGGGCTAACATGGCTGTTGCATTACAAAATAAAATGTTCTATGGTTAAATCTCTATTTTTGTGGTAATACACTTATGTAAATTAATTCCAAAATGTTCATCACTGTTGCTAAATATAAGTTTTCTTCCTTCAGTAAAGACTTCCTCACTGAGGGGTGTTTTTGTTTGATCAGATAAAATATTGTATTGTAATTCATATCCAGTCAGTCACTGATATGAGTTAAGTGTCAGCCTCTTTTCTGTCGCCGACTCCTCTAAATGTGTTCCTGGATTGTTTTTTTTGTTGTTGTTTTTTATCTGTGTTTTTTTAAGAAAACCGCAGTTTGATAAGCTTAACAACAAATGTTAAACATTATTTGTATTGATGCTTTTCAGTAGTGGTGGGAGAAGGCCTCTGCCAAAAATAAGCTGTTTTACAGTGTGAAATTTTCCTTAGCGAGTCAGTGAGAGGGGAATGGAGGGAGACGGCGAGGTCTCGTAAACATCCCACCTCTGTTTGTTCACATGGAGGCTCTGGGATATGGTCAGGTGTGGTTGGACGACTTTCCAAATAATAATAAAAAAAAAGGGCAACAAAGCATATGGGTGTGCACACAAACACACACGTGCAAAATTTTCAGATGTGAGTCAAAAAGTCAGCAGAGGTGTCCCACTGCCCCTCCTTTTCTCCAATAAATGGTGAAGCCAATCATAGCTCAGCTGCCAATCAGCATTTTATCAGCAGGGCCATCTGGCCATCAGCTTATTGTGTCCCTTTTAAGTCCCTGTCAATCAGCCCACTACCAACCCTCCTCCCTTTTCTCTTAAAAATGTCTGCTTTTGAGCTTGTTCCCTTCTGGCTCCACAGGGTGGCCTGCAGAATGATGGGGGGTTGTTTGTTGACCACTCTCTCCTAATCAGCTGCTGCATTTGCTTTCATCATTGTTTCAAAGACTCTAAGGATTAATGCAAACAAGATGTATTCTTATAATAAAGAGACCTTTCTCTCCCTCTCTTTTTTTATTTTCTCGCCCTGCAGCGGTGGAGACTCAGAGCACCAGTTCAGAGGAGATGGTGCCCAGCTCACCCTCCCCTCCTCCTCCTCCTCGGGTCTACAAGCCCTGCTTTGTGTGCCAGGACAAGTCATCTGGTTATCACTACGGAGTGAGCTCCTGTGAGGGCTGCAAGGTAAATGAAGCCAGAGGTACAAGGAAAAAAGAAAATTGAACAACTTAGGATCAGTTAAAAGGAAACCTAGAGTGGGGGCCTCATTTTTACCTAACAGATGTGTGAGCAGTGCAAATGTTTAATTTCTGCTGCCCCCTACTGCATACTTACTTATATTGCATATGCATAATATGATGAGTGTTTTCCAAAGGAACATTTCATTTTTAATGTCAAATTGCGCTTTAAAATAATATGTTTGGCCTATTTTTTATCGAAAAATAGGGCCTGCTTAACTTTCTTTTGGAAGGACAAAAATATACATCTCTTTTTAAGACATTTCTACAAATAAAAAGTTTGGAAATTAAAAGGTGAATTTGTATTAATTCTTTTTTACTCTCACACTGATAAATACAATCTATATGATATAATCTCAGATAAAACCCAGTTCTCTGAAGGTCCAGGATGTTTATTAGAGGACAAGTAGAAGGAAAAAAAAAGATATCATACAGAACAATGAACATCAAAGACAAGCCAAAAAGGAAAACCCGTAAACTACAATCCTAACAATGCAGGAGGGAATAAATCAGACAATCAGGCAAAGGGGTCTGGGAGAACTCTGGTGGACCCGCAGAGATCCTGCAGAGGTATCCCATCATCAATGCTCTGCTCAAAGGAGACCATGTTAGCCTACATCCTAAACACTTAATGTGTTGGAGACCTAGCTGCATCAACAGCCAAACAATGGATGGATGGATGGATGAACTTAGAAAAAAAAAATTAAGACTGGCTAATTACTAAGCATAGTAATCATATAATATTTTATCTCTTTTCAGATACAGTAGTAGCTTTATTAGAACCTTTATGTACTTCTTTATTTAAGAAATTTAAATAAATAAAATCGGCATTCTCAATTTTACTGTCAAACCAACAAACATAAGAAAATGCCTTAGATCTTTCTTTCCACGTTTTGATGTTGGATTTCTTTTTGGTTTTTAAAGCAGTGTATTTTTTTCCTTTTTAGGGGTTTTTCAGACGGAGTATCCAGAAAAACATGGTTTACACCTGCCATCGAGACAAGAACTGTCAGATTAACAAAGTGACACGTAATCGCTGCCAGTACTGTCGGCTGCAGAAGTGCTTTGAGGTCGGCATGTCCAAAGAAGGTCTGTGGCCTGGAAAACAGCTGTGACTTTTTATAAATTCAGCATACGTCCCACATCTTTTCACCTTTAACAGGTCCTCTAGATTTATATTTAACTTCTGTGAGTCGAACTCTTTATTAGTGCTTCTAAGCTAAATCTCTGTTCAAATGTGAATTTGAGCTCCTGCTATAAATTCTATATTTATTACAAGGCTTAGGTGGGCAAACAAAAGGGCAAATCTAAAGCAAAATATCCTGTGCTAACCTTAATTGTTTTGATATCTTTAGCCGTGCGTAATGACAGGAACAAGAAGAAGAAGGACATGAAGGAGGAGGTGGTGCTGCCTGAGAACTATGAGCTGAGCGGAGAACTGGAGGAGCTTGTTAACAAAGTCAGCAAAGCTCACCAAGAGACCTTCCCATCTCTGTGCCAGCTGGGAAAATACACCACAGTGAGTTTCCACTTCCATGCATGGTGGCGTTTCCACATCCCTCTGCACTCAGGCTCACTGCTTTCCAGGAAAGCCAACCCGCACGATCACACAGACCAAAAGTGTCCCTGTTTCTCTCTCCCAGAACTCCAGCGCTGACCACAGAGTGCAGCTGGACTTGGGCCTGTGGGATAAGTTCAGTGAGCTTTCCACTAAGTGCATTATAAAGATTGTGGAGTTTGCCAAGCGACTACCAGGCTTCACTACGCTCACCATCGCTGACCAGATCACCCTCCTCAAATCTGCATGTCTGGACATCCTGGTATAAGTCCTCTCCTGTTTAACCAGCCCTCCACCTCCCTAATGCTTTCCCATTCATCACGCTGCTTCACTCCTTCATACAAAGCAAATATTGAATTTGGATTTTCACTCTGACACCTCTATAAAACTACTGAATTGTTGTATTTTTGTTGCTTTTTTCGCGCCCATGTTCTAAACCCAGTAATTTTTCCCTCCCTTGCATAGATGCTACGGATATGCACCCGCTACACTCCAGAGCAGGACACCATGACCTTCTCAGACGGCCTGACTCTCAACAGGACCCAGATGCACAACGCCGGCTTTGGGCCCCTCACAGACCTGGTGTTTGCCTTCGCAGGTCAGCTGCTGCCTTTGGAGATGGACGACACCGAGACGGGGCTTCTCAGCGCAATCTGTCTCATTTGTGGAGGTAAAGCTGGCAGAATTGTCAAAGTTCAGTTAGCAAGTTGTTTAATAGGATTTTGTGAATCATCTTGTTTCTTCTTTTCATTGTCCCTTACCAAGACCGTATGGACTTGGAGGAACCAGAGAAGGTCGACAAACTTCAGGAGCCACTGCTGGAGGCTCTAAAGATCTACACTCGCCGCAGACGCCCCAACAAGCCTCACATGTTCCCTCGCATGCTGATGAAAGTCACAGACCTCCGAGGAATCAGCACCAAGGGTGAGGGGATTTTTATAACACAAAAGGACTTCTTTCTATTAAGATCAAAAATCCTTTTGCAGTTTACAGATGAAAACAGTGTTTGAGGTCAAAACCTTCTTTACTTGACTTATGACATGTAGAGAAAAGACGGAGAAATTGCTCTAAAGCACTAAAAGCATGAAACAGTAGAATGTAAAAGTGACCCCAATCAGTAAATCTTTACATAAACATTTTTTTACACTGTGAAAGTCAATGCTGAGAAAGTGAAATTATTTTGGAATATATAAATATCATATTTATTTTACTTCACAAGTATTTACTACCCTCTGTTAGCCAAAGACCTGAAATCTGACAAAAGTTCATGTTTGTGGTTGAAAAGCTTAGGTGCATTTGTGTGCTTTGTAAACAGAATGACTTTTCAAATGTTTTGCTTCTCGATGCCTACAGGTGCAGAACGAGCCGTTACCCTCAAAACAGAGATCCCAGGCCCCATGCCCCCTCTGATCAGGGAGATGCTGGAGAACCCGGACGCCTTCGAGGACAGCAGCGACTGCAGCGACAGCGCCTCGGCGCCTCCCCCTGCCATCCAGGCCATCAAGCAAGAGGGGAAGTCCACTTACGAGTCCGCCTTCGAAGAGGAAGAGGAGGAGGAGGAGGACGAATACTGGGAGGAGGAGAGGGAGTGGGGGGCGGAAAGTGACGGAGAGCCGTGGGGGGAGGCCGCACAGAAGAAAGCCGTGGTGGGAAAAACGCAGTGAGAAGGACGCTGCCTCCTCTCTGACAGACCGCTGAGCCGCACAGAGCAACGCCACCTCAGAGTTAGGCTCGTTAATGACATTGTAATAACCTGTACATACTGACTGCAAGGAAACAGATTCTAAATAGGAAGCAAATAATCAAAGAGAAAAAGCACTACATTTCAGTGGATGAATGAGGGCACCATTAAAATATCAGCGCGGCCTTAGAAAAGATATTTGAGTTCGACACAATCATGGCTGCAGAATAGCAGAAGAAAATGAGCTGTTCTGCTGTCTCCAAAGGGCTAAGCTTTGTATAAAATCAACCATTAATCGCAGCAGCTTATCTCTACATGGTGTATATGTGCCACGAATGTCTTCTCAGAATTACTTTTATTACTTATGCAACTTATTTTCTCATTGTACCTTCTTTTTCTGAGCATGTTACATTTATGCCTGTTTCTCTTTTTTGTTTGATTTATTTTTCAATCCTATGCAACTCAGCATGTGTGAAGTTTGAGCTTTAGCCTTTTTCTATTTGATTTATTGGACAAAAGCATTTCTAAAAAGATTTTTAGAGAGACAAAGAGTCATGAGCAGGACTCAAACTCACTATAAGTTTACACACATATATATATATATATCTATATATAGATATATATAGATATATATATATATATCTCACAAGGTAAGTTTTCAGTCATGAAATCATCTAACAAAGGAAGAAAGAAAGGAAAAAGATCTTAACTTTGGTGCCAAATATAGAAAAGGCAACACAAACATTTCCTTACCTCTCATCCTTTATCCTTTCACAAAAAAATTATAAATCTGCAAAAAGTAGATTTATTACCATGCCTCACTCTCAGGTTAACTACACTATATTGCCAAAAGTATTTGCTCACCCATCCAAATTATTGGAATCAGGTGTTCCAATCACTTCCATGGCCACAGGTGTATAAATTCAAGCACCTAGGCATGCAGACTGTTTTTACAAACATTTGTGAAAGAATGGGTCGCTCTCAGGAGCTCAGTGAATTCCAGCGTGGAACTGTGATAGGATGCCACCTGTGCAACAAATCCAGTCGTGAAATTTCCTCGCTCCTAAATATTCCACAGTCAACTGTCAGCTGTATTATAAGAAAATGGAAGTGTTTGGGAACGACAGCAACTCAGCCACGAAGTGGTAGGCCACGTAAACTGACGGAGCGGGGTCAGCGGATGCTGAAGCGCATAGTGCGAAGAGGTCGCCAACTTTCTGCAGAGTCAATCACTACAGACCTCCAAACTTCATGTGGCCTTCAGATTAGCTCAAGAACAGTGCGCAGAGAGCTTCATGGAATGGGTTTCCATGGTCGAGCAGCTGCATCCAAGCCATACATCACCAAGTGCAATGCAAAGCGTCGGATGCGGTGGTGTAAAGCACGCCGCCACTGGACTCTAGAGCAGTGGAGACGCGTTCTCTGGAGTGACGAATCGCGCTTCTCCATCTGGCAATCTGATGGACGGGTCTGGGTTTGGCGGTTGCCAGGAGAACGGTACTTGTCTGACTGCATTGTGCCAAGTGTAAAGTTTGGTGGAGGGGGGATTATGGTGTGGGGTTGTTTTTCAGGAGCTGGGCTTGGCCCCTTAGTTCCAAGGAAAGGAACTCTGAATGCTTCAGCATACCAAGACATTTTGGACAATTCCATGCTCCCAACTTTGTGGGAACAGTTTGGAGCTGGCCCCTTCCTCTTCCAACATGACTGTGCACCAGTGCACAAAGCAAGGTCCATAAAGACATGGATGACAGAGTCTGGTGTGGATGAACTTGACTGGCCTGCACAGAGTCCTGACCTCAACCCGATAGAACACCTTTGGGATGAATTAGAGCGGAGACTGAGAGCCAGGCCTTCTCGTCCAACATCAGTGTGCGACCTCACAAATGCGCTTCTGGAAGAATGGTCAAAAATTCCCATAAACACACTCCTAAACCTTGTGGACAGCCTTCCCAGAAGAGTTGAAGCTGTTCTAGCTGCAAAGGGTGGACCGACGTCATATTGAACCCTATGGATTAGGAACGGGATGTCACTTAAGCTCATATGTGAGTCAAGGCAGGTGAGCAAATACTTTTGGCAATATAGTGTATGTCTCAGCTTTCAGTGCAAAACATTCTACTCGCAGCAAGATGAAGACAAAGAACTCAAGTAAAAGTATTTAAATAGATGAATAAATTACTCAGGTGTTTATGAGAAAATCTATGAACATTCTCCACAATTCAAGCCGGAAAGGATCTATTAGCATCTATTAGATAACAAAACTAATTGTAGCTGCTCCCTACAGCTGTTTAAAACCACAGCGATAAGTCATTATATTGAATTTAAAATTGAGCGCTGGAAAAAATACGTAAACTCTTTGCAGACAGGATTCTCATAAACGACGTATGATGGATTTACCGAACAGTTTTTAACCCTTCATAAATTATTGGTATCAATTGAATAATACATGGCTTCTATTTCTAAACTTAAATCGTCTTTTAAATGAATAAAAATATATCATTAATTTACTCAAAAGACATTGGAATCATACAGAGCAGGCCAGAGATCGTCTGGGAGCCTATGTAGACTTTGAATATATAAATTCAATAAAATAGTTACATTTAATATAAGTATAATTATGTTTGAGGTATATGATATTCAATGTCTAGAAGTGTTGAAATCTGCATTTCAACTTGGGGAAAGTTAGTAGTTTGTATAAAACATCATGAAAGTGGTAGATATTAATACATTTACACTTCTGACCATATATATCCCATTAAACTAGGGTGACACACGGTGCCATACAAACCCTGTTTTACAGTGTGTTCCTTTTGTGTTTTAATGGAGATAATGGAGTAAAATACATGGTTACCATTTTGCATTGCCAAGGGAAAATGTATTTTCTGACCATGACGGATTTATGTTGGCTGCTTGGATCGTTCCCTGGTTCAAAGTCTGACATCCCAGAAAATCTAATATACACTTGACCAGTTCTGGATACGAATCAGAAGAGATTATTAAAGATAGATTTTGTATTAAAAGCCTAATTCAAAGTCTTCTGTACTAATCTGGGACTGCACGGTAGTGCAGTGGGTAGCCCTGTTGCCTTGAAGAAAGAAGAATCTGTGTTTGATTCCAGGCCCCCGGTCTTTCTGCTTGGAGTTTGCATGTTCTCACTGTGCTTGCATGTCATCAAAAGTTATCATTTGACATCATTAACAGTTCTGTATTAAACAAGTTGCTTGCTGAAACACAAAATGAGCCTCCATTTTCTAAATATATCGTCGCAAGTGGAATAAAGCATCAACCAAATAAAATAAAACAATGACTACCAACAGATTTCTTAATGTAATTGAGTTATAATCAGATTGATAGCCATTAAATTGATTGGCCATTTTCATAATTAAACTTCCATTGAGCTGTATTTGCTCGTTTAGGATCTGAGCGTTGTAATATTTCTCTCAAACTCACAGACTTACACACAGTGTCTGCATAGCAACAGCCAAAATGATCTTTCTAAATCATATCAAGTTTTATTACTTCCAAATAAATCCTTTTTCTCTTTTCGTTCTTATTACTTTTTATTTGAGCTGGTGCAATAAATTAATCAATGAGGTTGTCTTCAAGGCCTCAAGCCAATAATCATATGTGCATCAAGGTGTAACAATAGAAAAGACCAAAGACAGAAAAGACACTTTGTATTCAGCAGGATTTTACTTACTTTTTTTTCATCAAATGAAGCTGTATACATCTCATCTCTCTAACGTTTTGCTGTTGCTGATGGGTTTTATTTGTTTTTTAAAATTCCAAGCATGTTGTCGACATGTTCAGGGAGCCTATTTCTTCTTGTATGTTCTCCGAAAGCAGAATAGCTTTGATGACTGACTATTGCACACAGCTACAAACAAATACAGAAACTGTCTCCAAATGCTCTGGTTACATTTCTATGAGAAGCTGAAACTGAGTTTCCTTTTTTTTCAATGCTTACTATTAAATGTTTTGTGATGATTCCTGTATTTTGATAAAGGCAATTTTTTTCTTCTCAGACTTCATAATGTTTTTATTGTCTCCTATTTTTTTAACTTTGGACTTTTATTACATTTGTACATTTGTTATGTAGGCTCTTGGTTCCTGATAATCTGCTTAGAATGAATGAAAAGATATCTCTCGGATAAAACATGCAGTGGGTTATTATTTGGGCTGTAAGTAGGATAATGATCCAAAACGAGGCAAAATCAACAGAAATTCTAAGTCCGCTTTCTTCTATGATCATCTCAGTCTCACTATGGGATGAGCTGAAGAAAGGAGAGGGTAAGCGAGGAGGAAGAACTATGGATGATCTAAATCAGGATTCCTCATTTATGGAGGTCAAGTCCATAAATGCTTTGCTTCAAGGCCTGAATCAAATGGCTGATTTACCTCCTCAGTTTACAGTCAGTCAAAAAATATATATTTTATTAGATTCCACACCACCTAGGTGTGTTTAAATAAAAGGTTTTCATTTTTCTTAGGTTTTCATTTTTCTTATCCTGCTGGAATAAAAAGAGTTATTAAACTTAAGAGTTTTTGCACATATTTTACCACCAGTCCCCATAAAATCTATCTGTATGTGAAAACTTCAATCATTCATTTCTCTGTGTGTTTTATCAAACAGGAACTTTGCTCTGCATCAAGTTTTCAGCAAAACATAGAAAGCAATCAATATCCAAATTTGCTGGCATTTTATCAACAACCCCGATTTTCCAAACATATTACAAAACAGCAAACGGGCGATCATGATCCTCGGGCCTGACTTGCTGCCATTTCACACTTGACCGTGATCACACGCCCACACATTTGACACGCTTTCAGGAGTCATGCTCTCATGGAAAACCCAGGAGCAAAAATAGCCCTGCACAACATGTTGAGTAAGAAAGTCAGGCCAAAGACATATTTCTCACATTATCCACATATTCATGTAACAGCAAGAACAGAGATTAAAGAGATTAGAGAATACTGAAATGCAAAAAAACCTGAGAGTTTTCATCTCACTGAGAAATAATATCTGTTAAATATGATTAAGAGACAAAACGGTTGACTCTATGGGAAAAGCAAAGTGCGTTTTCACAAAAATAAGAAATAAATGCTCTTTGTTTTGTTCTGATTCAAATCCATATCAGTGGCACCAACGTTGCTTTTCACCCATGTGCTCCTGGTTTTGTCACCACATTGGGGAGTCGGCCCACTCACTGCAGATAGAAAAAAAAGAAAGGTTCACAAAAGATTTATTATTGCAGCTGATTTTGAATTTTTACAGCTTATTTTGGATTTACGTATGTGCTCTTACAATGGCAGCAAAAAGGTGCAACCACTCATCATGAGAATCCGTCTGATGGTGATTTGCAGCTTTATGTAAACCATTTTCACTAAATATATCTTCTGTGATTTACGTGTTTCATCCATACATAGTGAAAACTACTTTATAGCCTTTGTTGAGTGGATTGTCTAGCATTGCACCTTAAATACACAGATTTTTGTAGCATTCAACAAGCTTCCTACTTAACCCTGGATGGCACTTAGTAACTCATCTTATCAGGAACGATACAACTTATTCTAACTGCTTGGTTTCAATGCAAGGACTCTGCCTTTTAGCACTGAAGTCAACAAACTTTTTATGCAGTTAAGATCAGTGTTCAGAGAAGGTCATTTCAGAAGCCTAGCGGATAAAGTTAACCTGTTTTATCCGTTTAAAATAAAGTTCTAAGTTCCTCTCCAAAAAGGAGGACACTTTGCCCAGCCTCGAGACTGATTCAGACAGGCTTCTCAGAGGTTAATGAATAATGCTTTATTACACCTAAATTGTACTAAAATACCTTCTGTAGTAAAACGAAATCTGTAACAACCAGTAACAAAATTATAGCTCTCTTTAAATTACATAAATAAAATCAAATAATGCTCTAAATATGACCTCTTCTATATTAGAAAATACAGCCTCAATAAATTACCTCTTTAGAGCATCCTGTTTTACCAGGTCTAACAAATTACTCAGGCAACTTTGAAGAGGAGCTCTCGCCTTGCAAAGCTTTTTAATGTTTTTCAGTGTCTGTGGAGTTTTGAGATCTCCAGCAACTTAATTAGACACAGAGAAAATGTGCCAGCTTTGCACGCAGTGCACTTAGCCTCCCACTTGATGCAACGAGGACGGTACGTGCTAATTTCTTTTGGAGTTCATCTCTCAAGCTGCACATTCGTTTTGGCATTTTGTGTCCAATGCTGGTTGTCCTGCGCCCTGTGTGTGTGGGTGTCTCGCTAGACCCTTCCACTAGCCATCTCTCAAGAATTACATTGGCAACAAAGTACAATAGTATTCTCTGGCAAAGGGCATTTAAGCATATGGTCCAGTGAAAAACATTGAAAGCCTGACATTTTAATGAATTCATATGACCCCTCAGAGTTTTGGCTCGGTGTGCAGGGTTGGTCAGCTTTCATTCTCGTAAGTCTGGCTCCAAGGTGGAGACCTGTTTAAAATTTGGCATTTATCCTGGTACCATCTATATTCCTCTCCACCACTGAGACTGCCTGTCTTCATCTACACGTGCCTGTTAGGACTTATAGAACTATGAACCTGCCTGAACGTTCTGGGGATTTCCAGAACCCTGGATCTGTCTGTTCCTGTTCAGACCGGAACCGCTGGTCGGGCTACGGACTCCTGGATCTCGGAACTGTCCAGTTCTGAACTGTGTCTCTGAACTAAATCGGTCTCCTACCTGCTTACTGGGGTTGCTGCAATGGGGACACTTTGGACGGCTCTGAGCCACATCTCGTTTTGCAGTCCACCAGCTGGATCCTGCCTTCCTCTGAGAGGATGGACTGAACCGTCAAACCAGGTAAGTGACTCACTCGGATAATCATCTCGTGTCAGATGATCATGGTCACTTACCTGTGTTTCTCCCCTCAGAGTGTCAGTGATTGGGCGGTGCCCCGCCCCCTTCCTGCAGGCACTGCGGCCCGTTTATCTTCAAGCAGCCCGCATCCCGTCCTGTTTTATTATTTTTCTGTTATTAAACATTTTGAAACTTTGCACTGTCTGACTCGCCTTGAATACTGGATCCATCTGTCCTGTTTTATGAAACGTTTGGTCACCCTAGTTTGGGATTATTGTCCAGTTGCGACACCAAAAGCATACAGAAAAAAAGCCAAACTCTAATCAGTTTGGGCATTTTATGTTTGAGGCCTACAGTTCAATATTGGAGACAGTTGCTTGCTCCAATAGGAGGATCAAAACCAGTAAAGCCAGGCATACGATGTGCTCTTTTTACAGTCATTGCACGCAGCTTGGTGCTGATGGTCATAAAAACATGTCTAGATGCAACTTGCTCAGAAACCTTTCTTTAACTATAAAGTGGATATAATCCTGTGTGTATTATACTTAACCTGTATGGATTGGAGAAAGGTAACTATAAATTCAAACTAGGGCTGTCATATTTTATTTTAAGTAATCATTCCGACTTCTACATTTTTTAAATGAATCACTAAAACCACCAGATAAAACATAACATTCATAGGTGGATGCAAACCTCTGATCAGTACCCTACATATTTTCACTGTGTTTCAGTGACACTGTTAAAGAAAAGATTTTATCACGGATGAAATGCTTAATAGCGTTTGGTGGCTGGAGCCTTGTCACCTCAGGGTGGGGTTAATGGGTTCACGCAGGATTAGCTGTTTCCCTTCTCCTTCAGTTGTCCTGATTTCCGTTTCTTCCACCTGAATTTAACAGACAAAATGCTTGTTTCAGTGCTTGTGATCCTGACTAGTATTTACAAAGTAAGACTTGTTATACAAAGAACACAAAAACGTGACTTTAGCTTTAGCTAAATGCAGGAGGATATGACGCATTGAGGATGCAAACTTTTATGGTAGCAGTCAAATAGCAACATGCTCAGGGATGCTCTCTCTGAAAAAAGCCTAAAAGTCTAAAAAAATTAAACAAACATTTAAAGTTCTGCTTTCTGCTTTATTTAAGGGTTTAGAGGACAATCTTTTATTTCCGGGTGGATCATTAAAATAAGTGGTCCTCCTAATTGTCAATCATATTTTGCTCCAACAGGGAGCAAAAAGCAGTGAACATCTGTCCGAATTGTAAGTTAACTGAGTTCACTATAAAGTCTCCTATATAGTCCCCGCTCTATATATCGATTGGGGGATTTAGGGCGGACGTTCGGGCACAGTAAACTTGTATGAGCTATGTGAACCGCAACTTTTAAACATGCATTTTCTTTTAAAGAGGGAGGGTTTTCGTGAAAATCCTCCACAATACATTTAAGCACTGCAGTATTAATGCAACACATAGTTGAGATTCGTTTTTGAGATGTTATTTTTCCCATCTCTCTTTTTTAACGACATTACTACTGTTAACCTAACTAACTAGCTAACTAACTAAAACAGAAAATTTATATTTTCTGATCCTTTGAATTAAGTGGCTATATTCTTAAATAGCCCAATAAGGGGCTGTGCATCCTTTTATTCATTTATAAAGTCTGATTTATGTAGCAGCTAGCTCTGCTGCTGGAAGGTAAAAGTAGTGTCTGCATACAACCCAGTCTCATGGGAAAATGTATGGGTTGCTGCATAAATGGGGCCAAAACCACATATTTAGTAGTTTTTTTCTATCCTACAGTTCAATAATACTATGGACCAAAATACACATATAATGTCAGCATTTCACTAGATTTAAGCATTTTGTTCTTTGCAGCAGCTTGGAGTTTGGTTTTACACACTTTAGTAGTTTTTATAGTGCAATACAACAAATCTCAATCCAGCTTCATAATATATCGGATTTAAGCTGTCTGAATACAGCATACCTATGCGAACCAACTAGAATCAGTTATAAAGAGGTGAGATGTGTTCATTTGGTTTTCTTTCCACCACATCCATGCACACAGATTGTTTTTGCTCTGACCTATTTCTGCAGCAGCCCTTAACACAGGTGTTCAACAATGAAACTAAAGCAACCACTCATGAATAGGCAGAGCTGGAGGAATCTCTTGAGACAACAGTCAAATATTTACCCACTCAGATAGTGTGGGTCTTTAATGCAGGTGCTATTAATGGTTGTTTGGTTTACGGCTGAATGGACATGCATACCTGGGAGTCAGCTGGTGACTCGTCACTTTGGCTGAGAGTCTCAGCTGGGATCTCAGAGTAAGAGCTCTCCTCCGGGGCAAAAGATGAACAAGCTGATCTCAGGGCAGCTGATGAAGAAAGCTCCTCTTTCTCAGAACCAGGAGCTGTTTAAACGGTTTTTTAATTGTAATACTTCTTAGAAATGAAGTGCATGAAGATAACTTTTTACTTACAGATGCAATCAGCAGTTCTGATGTTTGATCTCATTTCTTGTCCGATCCCGAGCTTTATCTCCAGCTGATGAAGGCAATTCACCAACTCCTGGAAGGTTTCAGTCACGACCCACAGATTTTGAGAGCAAAACAAAAACAAACTAGAAATCATAAAACATAAACGAGCGAATCGAGAACTTCTCACAAAGGTACTGGAACATGGGTACAGTACCCACCTTTTTTCTGTTTGTATTCTAAATTGAAAACAAACTAATAAATAACAGGGATGTCCCAGCTAAATTCTTCAATTAAAGAAACCTGATAGAAGCAATCTGTCTAATTATTAAGCCTGCTGCAGCATTTCTGTCCAGCAGCGCTTGTATCCTGCAGAAACATTACAACAGCAGCTGAGCTCAAAAGTTCTCATTCATTTCTTCAAATTTATTCCTTTTTGTTTTATTTAATTGCAAAATATTCTTATGTTTTAGATTTCAGAATATCTCAAGTTTCAGCCAATACTAAAAGCTGCAATATCAGTACAGTATCGGAAATGAAACTGTTTTATCAGAAGCTCTTTAATAACTAATGCTGACTTTTTCAGGTTAGCCATCAAGTTAAACTGGGATAAAAGGCGAGATTCATGTCAGAATTTTTTTTTTTTTTTGGAAAACGCAATATTTCTAATCAGATTAGTTCTTAATACTTTTATTATTATTTTTAATCAAAGGTGTTATATCTCATGCCCCATCCTAAAAATGGTAGCTTCTTTACACTCACACTGGGTCCCACAGTGGAAGAAATAGACAAAAATGTCAAATTCAGCTACATGGTGCCACCATAGTCATATATACCTGCTGGGCATTAAATAGCAGAGTGGAAATCAACAAAGATTTTTAGAACTATTTATATCTATGGGTCAATCGCAGCACATCTGTTTTTCAGATTTCACATGTGCTCCACAGTCGGTATGTGAAATATTCGATGCTACATAAAAACAAATGAAGTGATATAATGAATGCATGAGGCATTTTGTGGTGTTGAACAGTTGCCTGCTTGTGAAGTTCTTCCAGCTCTCTGCCTTTCTGGACCTTCCTCAGAGAGGCTTTCAGCTCCTGCAGCTCCCGCTTGGCGTCGCTCAAATGCACCTGCAGGGAGAGCAGCAACTTTACACCATGGCCACCCTCCCGTCCTGCTCGTCACATGATGATGATGTGGGGAAATGTTTACTTACTGTTCATGGAAGCTCTTCTATTTGTGCCGGCATGCATGTAAGAAAATAACTGCTCTGAACTTTGGCATGCTTCTCCAGTTTCCAAAACACATACTGAGCAACTGATTTTGTGCAACCATGAAGGTGTTTGTGTATTAAATGATGCTCTGACTGGTGTCTGTTTTGCCTGCTCACTTTTTCCCTCCCAAGCTCTGCTTCCAGTTGGTCTCGTTCTGCCCTCTCCTCCTGGAGCCACTCCTCCTTTCTTTGAAGCTCACAGCTCAGATCCTGTAGTTTCTTCTTATCCATCTTCACAAAAAATATAAAGAATATGGTTGAGAATGAGTTTGGTTCTGCCAACACATAAAGCATGCTGGATCTTCACCTCTGCTGCATGCTTAAAAGCCTCCCTTTCGAGGACCCAGGTGGCCCGCTCCTCTCTGAGGGCCAGGTCTTGGTCTGACAGCTGCAGGGTAAGCTTCGCCACCTGCAGCCGGGCTTGGTGCAGCTCAGTGTGGGTGTGACTCCGCTGGATACCAAGGTCTTGAAGCTGTTTGCGTAGGTTCTCAGCTACGTGGTCGCTGGCTTCCAGATGTTCCTGCAGCCCTCGCACCTCTGCAGCTAAAGCATCAATCTCCACCTGTTAAAGAGATTCCTTTGTTTTGACATCAATGCTGAAGACCTGCAGCCATTTATCTCAGGCCTTATCTAAATAAAAGGCTCCCATCTTTAAAACTCAGCTAGCATCTGTGTTCCATCAGCTACCTGGAGGGATTTTCTTTTTTCCTCATCATGTTTCCTCTGGCTTGACATTTTCTTCACTCGTTCTTTCAGCCTGTGATCACAAAGTCAGTTTTAATTCCAACTAATGAGACACAGTGACATTTGTATTCCCAACTAAAACGTGCTTCACTGGCCTTTGCAGTTCCATGTTTCCTTGATCTTCTCTGTCAGACAGAATCCTGATTTCATCCTGCAGGTCGAGGACTTGCTGCTGCTTCTCCGCCTTTTCAGCCTCAAGTTTTCTCAGTTCAGAGCTCTGAAGTTCCTGACTGCTTGTCTCATCCTTTCAGCATTAGAAATTATAGACAACGTTGTTTCAGAAAACTTTTCATCTCATTTGAAATTATCCATCTTTTGCTAGATTAGAACCAAACACTTAAAGGTAACTTATTTTGATTGTCAGCAATGGATGAAAACAAATGTACTGAAGAGTTGAGCAGTGAAAGTATGCTTGTTTTTTGTAAATTTGTTGGAAAAGAAGGAAATATTTTTTTTTGAGTCAATGCTTTGGTGAATTACTATCCTCTAAAACACCTGCAGCAAAGTATAGCCTAGATATTTGCACATTTTCCGTGCAAAATAGTTAAAGTTTATGCTTAATATATTTTCACGCCTTATCACAAGTTTCGTCCAGCATTTTATTTTTTATTTTGCCTCTTTAAGCCTGCAACTCCTTTATGTATTTTCCCCTCAGCAAGATGCAACCATAATCATGTTTAATCTTGGAGTGATGGGTTCAGTGTAATGAAAAGTTTGTTATTCATTACTCAGAGCATTTTGCATGTAAGGAAAAAAGCATCAATGTTAGCCTCATTTAAATAGAGAACCTTGTTCCACTTGTTGTATTTATTCCTTACATGGCTTTATGGAAAAGAAAATAGGACTTCTTGTGTTTTTTGTTTTGTTTTCCTTTCAAAGATTGTTTGTATTCTGTCCATCTTGCATAAAAGCCAGGATTGGAAACTGTTCAGGAAACAGTCTCTGTTAGGTGATCCTCCCACCTGAGATGTGGTTCTCTGCAGCTTCACCTCAGTTACCTTGGATTAGTAATCTTCTTTACTTCTCTGTGAGGTTAGGTAGGCCATCATGCATTGGTAAGTACTATTTATCAGTAAAGGATGATATATTGAGCAGTGCTCAAAAAAGAGCATTTGTATGGATAATTTTTTTGGTCAATTATATAAAATCAAACCAAGTCTGTGGTTATAACAGGACAAAAAATGTGCAAAGGTAAATGGGGTGGGAACACAACATTCCTAATTGATGTGTCTTTTTATTTAGCTTGTAAGTAAACCATAGGGATTGTCTCTTAGCTGTTACTATTACCCCCTCATACCTTGTGTCTCTCTTCCAGCCTCTTTAGGATCTGGCAGCTCTGTCTCAGGTTGTCTCTGAGTTCAGTGATCTCCTCCCTCATTGCTTCTCTTTCCCTCTCCCACTCAATTCTTGCTCTTTTGCTGGTTTCTTTTTCACACTCAACCTCCTTCTTGGCTTCTTCCAGAGCTCGCAGTAAATCCTCCTGCTGTTTGAGGCTCTGCGCTAGTCGACTCTGGGGAGAACACAGGAAAACGGGGAGGACTTTTAATGCCTTTCACAGGAACCAGAAAATCTGCCAAACTTTTAACAGTGGCGTCCCCCCCTTATCTTTCTGGAGGAGCTTCTTTTCCTCACCTGCAGCAGGTGAGCCCTGGGGATGACCAGGAGCAGCTCCTCTTCTTCTCCATCCTCCTCGTCTTGTTCTTCTTTCAGAGTCTCCAGCTCCTCCAGCGGCTGAGGGGCACAAAAAGTGAACGGACGGCTGCGAGCACACACCTTTCCCACGCTATCCAGGTAAACAAACTGGTACTCCACATCACTAGGGCGAGGCAAGTACGATGCTGCAGAATGAGTATAAAAACTTACAGTTATTATGCAGACTTCTAACTTTAAATGGCAATAACCTTAAATGTGAAAAAAGACATGAAATAAGAGGAACGTAGAATGAGAAATATCTAGACCTGAATATATAATTTTATTATAGATAGATAGATAGATAGATAGATAGATAGATAGATAGATAGATAGATAGATAGATAGATAGATAGATAGATAGATAGATAGATAGATAGATAGATAGATAGATAGATAGATAGATAGATAGATAGATAGATAAACACATGTTTTAATCTTTTTTTAATTGAAAATTATTAAACAACTAAAAGATTGGCTCACAGGAAAATATCAGCTGATCAACAATCACCCAAACGTAACGAAATCGAGGCCGATCAATTTGCTTTAAAATTTATACAATTTTAATAACTTGTAAATATAAATTACACTTTCTTAAGGAAAACAAACACAGTGCTGTTCAAGTGTGGTTAAAAATATTCATGGGCGTAGGTTTGCATAGGGACCATAGGGACATGTCCCTACCAAAATTTTGAACCGACCTAATTGTCCCTACCAATAATTGGATGTGAGCAACATGTTTATAATTTACAGCAGTAGTTGTTGCAGCAGTGGCTTCTTTTCCTCTCGCAGCTCCTCTGACTGGTCTCTCCTGTCCCTTTCATGTAGCAGCGCATGGAGCTGTGCTGCGCTGTTTAACTCAACTCTCATTGGTTGTTCTGCCTTAAGTTCCGCCTTCCCTCTCTCTGATTGGCTGTTTTCTAGTCCGCTTGTGCTTGGAGCACAACATTGAAAATTTATTCACACTAGAATGCTGCGGTTACTACAATTAATATTAGGCTACAAAACTAGTCCCAATAAAAAAAAAATGAATATCATGTACACTAAAAAACAAAAACCTTTTTTTTTCCTGTTATAAAACGAAATATTCTGAGTCAGCCAGGAGTAAAGACAAGAACAAACAGAAGAAGAATATTAATATTTATTTCATCTTACATAGATTTCCACACATTCTATAAGTAAATTAGTACAAACAATAATGTCTGGTAAAAATGCTTGAATCTGGCTGTTAATTTTGTATATTATTAAATTACAGATAAGATATTGTTATATTGTCTTTTATAATTGTTAAACGTGATTTTATATTTGAATACACTTATTCTACGGCTTTAAATCATATACATACACATATATACATATATATACATATATATGTATATATATGTGTGTATATATATATACATACATATATATATATTGTATTTTTACAATTTTGGTATAATTACTGATCTAAGTGGGTTACTCTGTCGGGGAAAGGCACATTTTACATTTATATTACTGTATGTTTTAAAGTCTCTATACTCCAGTTAATGAAATAAATTACATACTAAATTAGTTGACGATTATTGAAATAATCAATAATATATTTAATTTTTTTCAGCCCAGGATAAAATACATGAAATGGGCTACACAGAGTAACTACAGCCCAGATGTTCAACTTTTATAGTGAAGTTAATATTTTAATGAATGTATTATTTTTGCTTGATACAGAAAGAGCATAGTAGGTAAAATATAAGAGTGGGGTTTACCTCTGCACAATTCTATATCTTCAAAGGATAATCCTGTATTTACCTTCTCTCTTAGTCGTTCAAATGAAAAGATTTTCAAAGTGGAAAACAGTCCTAATTCCACATTCATCAGAGCTGGTGATACTTCAAACATTAATAAACAGCATCTAATGAGTGTAGTGCTTTTAAAAATGTTATTAATTTAGCAAAATGATGCTTTTCTCTTTTAACAATGAATTCCTCTTATCAGTACGGATGCTCACATCGAGCATAAAAAAGGGCATGAATATTGCATAGCACCAATGACACCCGACCAATAGTGTCCCTACCAAAGTTCAAATCAAACCTACGCCCTTGAAAATATTATTATGATATGGAAGAAATAACAGTAAGCAAACGGATTTCTTTTTTTTTTTTTTTTTTTTTTTTTTTTTTGCTTTGTAAAGCATCCTATAAACAGTAAGATTGTATTTAAGATGTTTGAAAGGGGACAGTTACAATGAGATTTATTTTCTTCTTCTGGTTCTTTTTTTGTTTGTGTAAAAAAGCAAAAAAACAACAACAATTTGTTACTTCCTCACTGTTTTGTATTTAGATAAAAAAGAAAAAGAATGAAAAAAAGACAACCTCATGACATCATGACACCAATTAAATTATTGAATAAATAGATAAAGAAATGACAAATTCATGTTGAAATTAGTCTTCACATTTCTGCAACATGTTTGTTTCTATGTGGGATTAACATCAAAGAGTTGGAGTGGATTAGCTGGAGCCCCAACTTAAACTTAAAATCTGTTGTGCGGGGATGTAAAGATGAGGGTGATGGAAAGGGGGCCATCCAATCTAAAAGACTCATCAGTCAAAATGTCATTCGAAACATGTAAAAACGCTGCTCAGCCATCATAGTAGGATCTTTAAATAAGGTCATAACAATAAAGAGCTTTACATTGATTACACTAATACTTTTTAAGAGGTTATCTGTTTCATTAAATGTGAATAAAATCAATTTTCCTATACAAAATAACTCCTCTTTTACTTTCTAAACATTTTCTGAAAGATGCCGCCACATTTTCTAGAAGAGACAAAGTTGTTGGTTGAATAAAAAAAAATAAGAATATAAATCCGGCAGATTTATGAACATTTTGGGGTTTAACTGTGAAAAAAAAAAAATTATTCACATATTATTTACCATAAGTGACTCACCCATACATGATATGGACAGGATATAAGTGAGCTATTGCTGTCTATTGAGTTATGGATACAGACTGTTTGAATACACTGATGCTGATTCAGGTGATAAACGATGAAATGATTGAGAAATTGTACCCTGGAAAACTGCCCAGTAGTCAACGCTGGTTCCCTCTGTGTATCCATCAGGGACCAGAGCCCACGTATAGGTGTGATACTGTTTGACTGAAGACCAGCCCATCTGTAACAGGACACACAAAAACACTTTAATGCTACTATCCTCCATCCTCTCAGCATTCAGGTGGGTTGTAGTACCTTAAAAATCCCTATCCAATCACTGCTGCTCCACTGATGCTCTGATGTCAGACTGTAGTGGCACTCCAGCCTGGTTTGGGGGAAGTACAACTGTCCCACATTTCGAAACACCACTGAGGGCTGTTTCTCCATGAGTAATGGGAAGCTTCACTGTTGAGAAAGAAAACACACATGGGTCCAGTTTGATGTGCTCCGGTTTCTCTCCGGATGAGAGCAGCTGATGAAAGGTGATAGCTGAGATCAGGAATGCAGCTGTGTGAGCATAACACTGACCGCCTGTAGCTCAGCACTATGTTTTAAAGCAAGAAAATCAGACACTGACTAGATCTCAGTAAAGGAAAAATCAGAGCCATTCCAAAAACTTCCAAAGCAAATAATACAAACATATGAGAAGAGTATATAGAATATTTTTATTTAGCAGAAGTAAAAAGTAAAGTTTCAAACACAGACTAAAAATGGTTCTTAAACTTATTTAATTAGATATTTAAAGCCAATATTTTAATAAATTTGTATTTAAATCGAAGACCAAACAAAAAACACTTCTTATTTGATTAAAAACTGTGTATTAGAAAGAAAAAAATAAATTTTTTAAGAATCATAAGAGTTTTGTTTGTTCAGAATCTAAAACTAAACATTAAACCTTACCTTAATCTGTTAAAAATAATTCTTTCCACTCCTCATTAGAGACCAGGCTGGGCATCAGTGTGGAAGAAGTGCTGAGCAATTCTGTCAGGTGCAGGAGTTTCACAACATCCCCTGGACCATGAGGAGCCCACATAAACTTTAGAGTCCCAAGGGAATTATGGGAGATGTAGTAGTATGAGTGCTTGCAAGGGGGTAAAGCTGCTTTCCAAACTTCAAATCCCAGAAAAAGATATTTTCTGAGCATGTGCCACTTGAAGTATGGCCATGTTGAAATACTGTGGAAATAAAGTGTTATAACCAATAATAAAACTAGCAAGATTCATAAAATGGTAATATATTTTTTTCAAAATATTTATGGGTCGTAAATTCTTGCTCATTTTAAGCATATTCATTATTTTACAGAGTCATATTCTGGGAAAGGCAGTTCTATATTATTTTGACTGTGTTAGAATAAAGTTCCCACTTTGACCACTAGATGGCAGTGCAGCTGCACCAAACGCTCCAAGAAATAAAACTCAAAAAGAAAAAAAAATGTTGGCCTTATTAGAATAAAAATATGAGATGAACTTTTCAATTATTTTCCTCTTACACCTTTGTTCATTAGTTCTTATTTTTTTTTTTGGTAAAGTTTTTTATTTTAGATATGATAGAGATAATAAAACAAATAACAAATAAAACAACAAAATGTTGTTCCAATTTTCAACAATAAATTAAACAATGACTATTTCCATGACACAGAGCATTTATATCTTCTAGAAACTGGGTTGATAATATAGATCTGATAGAAAGAAAGGTTTTTTAATGTTTACCCTATAAAAAAAAGAGAGACAAACGCTGACCTGAATTCTAATTAAGGAAATATTTTACTGTGTCTCATAATTAAGAACATAATATCGAGTATTCTTTTTTTTTTTTCAAGTTTTCTTTAATGAGCAAAGTTTAATTACTGAGTCCGCAGAGCCCCAACCTGAACCAAAATAGATCATGGCAGGGCAGAAGGACTTGCACCAGGGGTCAGTGGCTCTCAATATTGGCTACAAATGATATGAACTAATTAATCAGAATCAGAATCAGACATACTTAAAATTAAATGTGCTAGGCCTATAATAGAAAGTCTTAGAAGCTTTACTGCTTTTTATAAAGAATATTTAAATTTCATTTTCAGCCGCATGACATTTAAAGAACAAAAAATATGTTTCTAGAGCTTTTTTTGTTTAGTTAGAAACTAAGTGTTTTATTGTCATTCTAAAAGTTAAAAATACAAAAAAAAAAAACTGTTGGCTGCTTAAGATGATAACAGATTTTAAAATATGTTTCCTTACAAGTCGTGTAATATTTATGCTCCTCTACACTAAAAACATTCTGAAAATGAGTAAAAATTTCTTAAAATGAGTGTAATTAACCTAAATTTCAGTAGGAAAATAAGATGCTCGGCCAATGAATGGAATGAGCATTTTTACACCTAAAATAAATAAATATTATGCACTTGAAATAAGAGAAAGCAGTTGATTTTATCTTAAATGTAAATTGTCATCTTCCATTGGCAAATTGAAAAAAAATAAAAAACTTATTTTAAGAAAAAGGGACTTAGTCAGATTTACATTTGTTGCAGTGTAAAATACTTTAATTTAACCAGACTCGGGGGAAATTATGCTTTGGATATGGAAGGATGCAGATCCTTTATCTATGAGAAGCCATGATTTCTTCTTAGAAAGAGGAACAGCAACAGCGTTAAAGCGTAAGTTGTTATGGTTTCTCATGCTGCTGAAGCTGCACATTCTCAACCTATCTGTGCTGGTGGACCACAACCATACCGTTAATGACAGGCCAGTACACTCCTGATTTATGTTTTTCCAATAAACTTTATGATGATGACAAATATAGGCCTAGCATTAACATGCCAACATTTGTTGTTTGACTTCATTACAATAAATGTTTTTTTTCCCAGTGAGAAGAATCAAATCTGTTAAACCCTTAAAAAAAGAAAATCTAAATTATTTTGGTATTTATGTGGCAGAAAAAAAGGTCAGGCTCACGCTGTATTTATAGACCAGAAGTTTTTTCTCCAACAGAAAACAAAAACAAAAAACAGACGTGAAGCCCAACAAGATAACAGTAGTGAGAAAATGTACAGCAAAACATTTTTAAAACAAAACATATATAAAAAAAAAACAGAAAAAAAAAACAAAATAGCTTCTTCTGAAAAGGCTAAAAGATAAACAGCTTCCCTGGCAGACATTGGTAGAGATGAAGCTATGGCTAAGTTTAAGCACCATGTTAGTTAGAGGGAACAACGAATCTCCTCCCTGAGCTATAAGGAAGAAATAAATATTCTATAGTGTCTGTGACACTGGCACACTCCTCCATGAATGATGTTCAGGCAGCTGGCCGGGGTTAGAAATCCTCCTCCAGGATCTGATGGTACTTCACCTTTTCTTTTGGTCTTTTAAAGTCAAAAACAAATTCTCCACCTCTGTGATTGACAGCAGGCTAAATGCCTATTAATCTATCAAGTTCTTATAAAATATCAAATCAAGTTGCTGCCAAATAGCTGGATTTTGCTATCATCTAACTGCAGCACATTTTACCAAACTATATCATTTAGATAATCATTAGCAAAACTTCAGATGAAAAGTTTTTGTTCCATTAATTAGTTTTAGTTAAAACTCCCAAAACTTTCCAGGATCAAAGTCATAGACTTCCTCATTTCTGAAATTCAGAAAAACAAGTTTACTATACATATATAGTAGACAAAGTACAGCAAGGTTGTTAAGGAAGGAAGGATGCAAGGGTAAATAAAGTAGAGATGCACCGATCCCATTGTTCCGTTCCAATCTGATACCGATACCTGGCCTGAGCCAATCAGTCGATATCAGCTATTAAATGAATGAACCATGTGAGGGAAGGCTTTAACCTAGATATAAACATTATTGAAAAATGTAACAAATTAATACAGATATAAATGTATTTTATCGTTTTTGTTAACAAATAAGAAGCAAAAAGAAAGAAACTCTAATATAAAGGGAGAGAAAAAAGAAGGAAAGGAAAAGAAGAAATGAATAAAGACAGAAGAAAAAATGTGCAATGAGAAAAGAAATAAAAGAGAAACAAGGAGAATAAGTAAAGGTACACAGAAGGATTCATAAAATAAAAAGGGGAGAAAAAAGCAGAATGAAAGAAAAGGAAAGAATGAAAAGGGTAAGAAATGAAAGAAAAAGGTAAGGAGACAAGGGAGGACTGAAAGAAACGAAAAGAAGGATGCAAAGGTGAGGAACAAAGAAATGAATGATGGAAAGGATGAAAGAAAAGACAGGAGAGAAAGAATGAAAGAACTGGAAGGAATTAAGACAGAGAACAAGGATGCAATAACATAAGGAAGAAAGAAATGACTCAAGAAGGCACAGAGGTGCAAAAGAACTAAAAGAAAAGATAGAACACAAGAGGGGTAGGCTGCAACATATACAAATCGTTTTTATACACTCATTTTTCATCTTCATACCTATCCAAACCCAGAAATACAGATAAAAGGCCAAACTCCCCAGACTGCATGAAGGCCTACATGAAACTGACCAAACAGATGTGGGCAACCTGCTAATAATAAAACAGCTGTGGGAACCAGCAGCTTCTACACCAAGTTAAAAGTCAAGTTTTGTTTGATGATCAAACAGTTCATGTCCACCATGCCACCCTAAATCTGTTTACTATTTTCCTTCTGAGTCGTTCATTGATATTTTTAACTCTGAGTGGAATAACCCCACCGTAAAAATAGAGACTGCTCATGCCTTTATGGGAGAGCAACAGTTATTTCCTCCACTTGAAACCTGGAAACATTAATAAACACAAACATTCAGGGAAAACATGAGGTCAGATTAGATAGTGTTTGTGATAATAGCCTGGATACGGGTGGAAGATATATATGCCAGCATTTTTCACCTGCTTCTAGTCTCCTGATTAACCATCAGGGTGAGCGTACAGCTGCTGAGGCTTATTAGCTGCTACTGAGCAGAGAGAGGACACCCAGTTCTTCCAGCTTGGCTTTAGCCACCGCCTCCCAGCCCTTATTGGCCAGAGGGTTCCTGGGCGATGGGTGCATGATGCCCTCGACTCGCACATCGATCCCTTCAGCGGACAGCGCCCGGCGGGCCCGCTGCTCGGCAACCTTCCCCACACCGATCACCATGGAGACGTTCAGCGCCTGCACCACTTTGCAGAGAGCTGCATCACACAGAGAGAGCAGGGCTTCTCGTTTGTCTGCAGGAAGCTCGGGGGGCGTCAAGTTCTTCCCGCTAGCGCTCATGAAGATCAGTGGGCACAGATTGTGAACAAAACAGTGGCGGAAAAAACGCTCGGGCTCGCCGCACAGTTTTCTGAAGAAACCCCAAAACCGAGCGCCGCTCACTTCACTTTGAGTGCAGCTTAGGCCCAGGACCCGTCTCTTTGGATGCTCCTCAGCGGGGTGACCAACCTCCCCTGTGATCTTTAGCCAATCAACGACCGACTTCACCTCACCAAACGGGACCTGAAGCAGACAGAATATTCAGGGATATTATCATTACAGCTCATTTTACTGTTGTCAATCGTCTCATAATATCACTGTGCATCATTCTGAGGGTATACAGTCAGTATTTAGCATCTGTAGTCTCAACACCCTTCAGATAAACAGAAATGCACACCACACTTTTGAGGTTTTGGCTTGTAGACCCATCACTTGACTACCCTTCAGTGATCAGTGATGGTTTTACATGGAATTTACCAAGGGGTCGTTTTTTTTTTTTTTTTTGATGGGTATGCAGAACAAAATAAAAACAAACGTGCAAAAAATAAAAATAGGGCAAGAACACATTGCTTATTTTAATTAGAGAGCCACAAAGCCAAGACTGCAGACCACTGGCTGAACAGATGAAGAACAGTAAACTTTGAATAACTTTTAAAGTAAACAGGAAAGAAAAAACATTTGATGGATCCAAGTGACGAATCGGGTAGTTTCTATTGTCAGTGATGGTTGAGTGATGGCCTGGAAAACATTGAAGAACCCTGGATTATGTCACTAATGTGAGCAGATGATCTGCCAAAGGAATTAGTATTGTTGTTCTTAAAATAAAATAATTTGATGTTAAGGACTTAAAATAAGATTTTTTCTTACTTCAAACAGAAATTGTCTTTTTAACCTGCAAATTGCATTAACCCTTTAAATCAAGGAAAAATACATTAGACTACAGCAGTGGCGGATCTAAGGGGCGGCTACTTGAGCTACAGCCCCGGATGTTTCCCTCAGAGCCCAGGATCTCGCTTCTGAGCTGATCTGAGTAAAATGTGCAGTTCTGGAATTCACCACATAGTGGCAGCATGCACTGGTGGTAGCATACGGGAATGCTACAGGCTGCTTTCCCGTGCAGAAGAAGTTCTCACCACTAGCTGTTGCTAAACAGACATTATTGATGTCCCAGGGGATGTGAAGCTCTGACTGACTTCCAGACGTTCTTTGTTCCAGTGTTGTATGAAATTTTGTTCCCCTCGGGAGCGCGCATGAGGCAGACATGGCGGATGGGACTTCTGATCGATTTCTCGCTAAAAACAAGTCCTATAATCATGTCAATGTTTTAACATCCAGTTTAATCAGCAGCTGTTGTTTACTAAATTGTAAAATAAATAAATAAACAAGGTCCTTTAAGCTGTTTTGTGTTATTTTAAGCGCCAAGAGAATCTTTTTCCAACTTTTGTCTCTTCAGCCTGACAGAAATAAAAGTCAGTCACCAAACACAGATTTACAACACGTAGTGAGTATTTATCATTTTTAATTATATGAGAGGATGCAAACTGGCTGATAGCAGGACACAAATATTAAGAGTTCCTGCAAAGATGAAAGTGTAGACTTTCTGGTAAATCACTTTCTAAAGTAAAATATGACAGATTACTGGATTAAGGATATTTCTAGTATACGACATGATATCACACAACAATTTTTTTTTTTTTTAAATCTGGAAACAGTTGCTCTTTATTTCCCAAATATATGGGAGGAGGAGAGAATGGATATTACAGCTGCCTGAAATAATCTGTTCCTCCTCCATAACATGGGGAGAAATTAATTCACCTGTAAGTCTTTAACTGTGTTTATTCATCTCTGCATCAACAACAAACTGTGGATTTGCCGACGTTTGACCATTATTTGCCAAAGTTATGAGAGGGGAATCAAATATTTTAGCCACCTGATATAATTGTTATAATAATAGTTATGTGTGATAGCATGTAGTATACAAGACATTTCTTTAATCCAGTAATCTGTCATATTTTACATTAGAAAGGGATTTACTCTCTCATCTTCGCCCTCAGGGCTAATGGCCCCTGGTCTCCAGGAATCCTAGATCCGCCCCTGGAATACAGCACAGCTTTTATAGGCACCTGCCCATGTTGGCCCCTTCCTAGAACCGCCCATGCATAAACAGCTTAAGGTTACTCATGTAAAAATCATGTAAAACATTAGAGTTGATATAAAGCAAAAGTAAAGGATGTTGCTGTGCGGTGCTCACCCCGGTCTGTGCCATGCCAAAAGGTCCAGGATTCATCCCCAAAAACAGGACCTTCTGTCCGGGCAGACAGTACTTCTCCACGTAGCAGCGGTGGGTGTCCCATGCGTATTCTAGCGGGTTGTAAACAAAGCGGACGGGCTCTCCGAAGGTGATCCCCCGGAGGTGGGCGTTTAACTCCAGCTCAGCCTGCAGGAACCCTGAGGAAGAGGAAGAGTTCCCCTCTGTTGGCTGAGAGACCCGATCTGCTAACACCGTCAGCCCCCTCTCAATCCCCGATGTGTTCCCATCAGACATGATGAAATAAGTCGCTTTTTTGGCACACAAAAAAGCGCATTAAACTGTGTTTTCTATGGATCAATTTTAAAGCTAAACACAAAGAATCTCATCGGTTTCTTCCTCTGCTGCAGCCTGTCATCTAGAATGCGATGGCACCACCTGCAGCAATAAAGGTGTAATTACACCATTTACTCTATAACAATTTACCCACAAACTTTAGTGTCTTTGCTAGTCTGTGGACACTTTATACTGCTTTAATGGGTTATTAACATATTGTTCATTAGATTGGACCCAAATCCAGCAGAAGAGGCAAGCTGCAGCGTAAACAAACAAACCTACCTTCTAATATAAAATCCATGGCGGATTTAACTAAGGGGCGGAATTACTAGACAAGTTTAGCAAATGGTAGCATGTTGATGTTTCAGCACATAAGTAAGTGTGAGACTATTGCATCTTGTGTTGGCGTTAAGCTCAGGAATATAAATAAATAAATACATAAGTCCATCCCCTAAAGTCAGATACGGCAGAAAGTACCTGGATCAGACAGCCAAGGAATCTCGACGTGTTGGTTGGCACTTCCCGGCCACCGTACTCTACGTGCAAGCCTGTTTGAGAAATGTGTGAAGATGAACTATACGAGTTATATTTATTTTTTTGTTGGAAAATGTATATATAGCAACTCGATCCACACTCCATTCCAGTAGATGGCGGTAATACACATCAAATAAGTTGCTGCCAACTGCCATAAAAAAGAAGAACTAAGAGTTCAGTGTTGGTAACAGGGAAGCATAAATACTAACCTTTCCATTTTCACACTTGAAATCTTGTAAAATCAAAGTCCTTATTTTTCCCGTCTTTTTGTAACCACAAATTACACCACTTTATATTGGGATATATCTTAAGTTTTGTAAGCCTTAACATGGGTTTGTTATTACTGAGGGGGGTCGTGAGAATCTTTGACTCTGGACATTTGATTAATGAGAGAAACATAAAATACAACAAATCCTTTACAAATTCTTTATTTTAGCATAATAGTAAGAAGCCTCTCCTCTGATTTTCATACAGCTGGAACTAATTGGATCACAAGGGTACATATTAGTTAGCCCATTTTTACAATAATTGTAAATTTCTTAGGAAGTTATTTTTATGCGCTCTCTTTCCTACACAAAATAATCAATAGATCCCATCTTAACTGAGGACCGTAACTCTGCATGCAAGACTAATAAAGAAAACAACTAATCTGTGATAGCTACTGTTATGCTGTTGTTCATCTAATACCATTATCAATATAATTTACTACAAATACCAGGGACTTTGTATAAGAAAAGCAAACATTTCTCTGTGATACAACATCATATAATGTCAAAATTACAGAACATACTGGGCTCCCAACTGTACTGATCCAAATCCTTTTGATCACCCGCTGTGTCAAGGAGAAAAAACAACTTTTGTCAAAACCCCTAAAATCTAATACAGACTGAAGGAAAAAAAAATATCTAAAATGTTCATGTTTCTCCATCTTATTCCAGTGTACAATTTTATCTGAATAAAAAAAGGTCCTTGAAACAATCATAAAAATGTAATGAGCTAATCCTTCCTTTGATCGGTGTGAAAATAAAATAAAACTAAACACAAAATCAAACAAGATTTGACATGGAAGGATTTTGTGTTTCAACAACGTAAATGATAATTCTTAAAACCAAGAAAGACAAACAGGTATCGACAACGTGCTGTATTGCCCTTTTAAAAATAATAAAAATCTGTGCACACACCAGTGGAGTCCCTCCACAGGCCAGGAATAGTGTTTCCAAAGCAAATAACTGCAATTCTCAAACTTGGCCCCTATTCTTTTTTCTGAACCATTCTATCTTAATCAAGTCACCTGAAGTGAACGCCTCACTAGCTGCTTATCTTCGAAAGCTTTTCTAAAAACATCCCAATTTCCTCATAACTCTGCCACGTACAATGAAGCAAATAAAGACGCCACTTCCACATTTGGTTAACGGCTTCAGTAGCACATAATCCAGGAGAAAATGGTTGCCTCTACGCAACCTTTCTCTGTCCAGCACTGACGGCCGGCGTGGTTTCAGCAAGCAGCGGATTGTCTGCTTTAAGATATGTAAAAGAAACCGTGTCGCAGAGGCAGATATTACTACAATAACTCGTGTATTTTTGGGTACTTTAAAAAGAAGACACCACTCGTTGGAATCCATTTAACACTGCTGACCTCTCATACTGACCGTCGGGCTCCCAGTGCCTTTAGAACCGCTTGCGGTTAAAAAAATAAAATAAAATGAACAGTAAAAATTATGACCTAAAATATCCATGTTCATCAGTTGAGTTGTGAAGCCATCGACATTTGAGAATTTTAAGTTTAGCAATTATTAAACACAAAGAAAAGGCTGGTAAATGCATCTGTGGTGCAGCCTTAAAAACACAGCAGAAAAATAAAAGGCAATAAAACAAAAAAAACATTAAAGAAACCTACTAAGGCCACATCATTTTGTATACTGCTGCTAAATCTCACAATGTGATGAGCTGTACAAACAGTGAGACTCCAACAGGCCAATCTGCACCCAGTTTCCACCCAGACTCAGGAAGTGACGTTTTTTCTGACAGCACTGGAGATCTCATATATATATATATATATATATATATATATATATATATATATATATATATATATATATATATATATATATATATATATATATATATACACACATACACACACCCACACTCACACGGGTGAATGGACGGCAACGGTAGAAGAAGTACTGTTGCACTGCAGTCTGAAACACAGAAACCGACCTGTTTACAAACATGGATTTAACCTTTGTGTTCTCTTTAGACATCAGGAATTCACTGTAACAGCAACAACCGTTATTGTATTAACCTCCATTACTACTCTTATATTGGCCCATTTTAAGCATAAAAAAAGAACACTCAAGTCAAATCTAGAATAATACACTTTCTTAATTATTTACACTGATTAAAACTGGACCCTCCCTGCTGATCGGGTCAATAGAATTTAGTGCATCTAAACACTAAAGTACCAGACGATGCTTTCAGTGACAGCTCATGATGAGCAGCACCGTCTTGGTAAACTGTAGTCCCAAACGACACGGCCGAGGATTCGACACATTCGACCCGGAGGGAAAGTTCAGTTTTACAGATTAAACCTGAGTGACAATTCTTTTGAGTCAAAATGGGCCATTTAAGAGAGAAAAAACACTACAAATTTGCGGCAACATTTTGTCCCATTTTTTTTTTGCAGTTTTTTTTTTTTTTTTGCAAATACAACAGGACAAACAATATCCAGTTCCCGTCCCAAGCTGTACCACCGAATGCAGTTTTTTTTTCTTTTCGGTAATAGAAACCTCCTTTTTTCCCTTGGGAACAAAAATGTACAAAAACCAGGACCATGGACCACTGTTCGTCACACAAAAAAAGTGTCATTGAAAATAAGAATCGGGGTGGGGGGAAAAAAAAAAAAAGACACAGTGAAACATAAGTAAAAAAATAAATCAGGAAAAAAAACAACGGCCCCACTGTCAATAGTAATCCCAGGACTGGAGCTGAAGGAGCAGTCTGCGCTAGAATGTGGTGCCACTCTGCACAGAGGAGAAGGGAGGAAACCCTGCGGCTTGTCCCATCTCTGCTGGAGTTCTGGATCCCGGGAAGGCGTAATGTCAGACCGCCAGCCGTCCTGGAGGTGGGTGCAGGGGGCTCCAGGTAGGGGGTGCAGGGGGCGGTTCCTGTGGATATGGACGCGGTTCGCAGCACGGCTGGTTCTCTACTTTGGCTACGCTGCGACCCTGGCACAACCGCCGATGTCGCAGCAGCCGGTCTGTGCGTGAAAAATTCTTTAGGAAAGAGGAAAAGAGTCTTGTTAGATCTAGAGGAAGATGGATGGATGCCACCTCAGAGGAAACCATCTTCAACTAGCACACAGCACGCAAGGCTTTGCACAAATATCACACAAGCTTAAAGGTGGGGTATATGATCCTGGATAAACGGTTCCTGCCAGCTACATTTTTGAAAATACACACCTTCAGCCCACCCCACGAAACCACGCCTCCAAATTACATGAACGCGCCTGCTGTCAGTCGAGAATGTTCGGATGTTCCCGAGAACGAGAACGAAACAGGCCGAGACCTCGCGTATCTTACAAAATGTTTATAAGCATGGATTGGACAGGAATGCAGCGTCAAGGAGGATAATACTTTATAGTGCCATGATAGCAATCAATATTTCAGACGGAGCTAGTAAGCTAGAGAAACATGCTGGGACATTGCATGTAGTCGACATCTTTGACTTTCTCACTAATGTGGTAAATAAGAAGTAACCAAGTATTATCTCAACATATAAGAAAACATAACGTTGTCTTACCTATCGAGTAGAAACAAGGCCACCTTAGCATCCGTCTGTAGTCCCCTGTCTTCTTTCAGTTGACGCCAACGTTGGAAAGCTGTACCGATTACCACTCTCGTCCTGTTTCGTTCTTCTGTTGCTTTTATCCTAGCTGTTGCTTTTTCAAGCACAGTTTTGCCTTTTCTTTTCGAACCCGTTGTTGTCGTCTTTTCTGCCATAGTCAATATTCTCTCTGGCTGTGTGAGATAAATCTGTGGAGTTGGGCTTGATAGCTAGGTAGCTAGCTCTCTAGTAGCATTTGAAGTTCACGGTAGGGTGGAGTTACCTGAAATGACTCCTGCGCCGGCACTTGGGGGGGGGGGGGGGGGGGGGGGGGGGGGTCACGAGTCTGTGAACGCGCAGGGGGGAGGGGTGGGGAGAGCTCAGAGCTGACGGTTGATGGGCGTGCCAGCAACCAGTAGAAGTAGGGATGATAGTTACTTCTATTGGTTAGCGTTTTCCTCTGACTACGCCCTCTACACTGGACTAAAAGATTTCGTTTTTTTTTCCAAACATTCTATCTCAGTTGGCGCAATGGGCTCGTGAGGAGGTTTTCAATCAGTATGGTAAAAACATGCTCCAGAAAACATCACATACCCCACCTTTAATTAAGTCTAAGCTAAAAGGTAACTTTTATGTTTATAAATCAAAAAACACTGTTGGCGTGTTGGTCTGTTTTAGATTTCTTCCTAGTTCAGTTCCACCCACCTGCTGGCACCTTTCGC